ATAGTATTTTAAGAATTTTAAAGATATAATTTTGAAGAAATATTTTAAATATTTTGATAGTATAATTTTTATTAATATTATATTTATTTATAAATTAGTTTTTTTTTTATTTTAATTTTATAGTAAAAACTTAAAGATTTATTTAATTTTTAAATAAATAAATTAAAGCTTAAAATTTTATTTTTAAATCTTTTTTAAAATAATTTTTTTAGTAATTTTAAAAATTTTATTTATTATATAGGCATGCTATAATAAAACCAGACAAAGTGAATATTTGATTATGTAATGTAAATAAGAGGCTGATTATGATGTGACAGTAAAATTGACTAATGTAACTGATGATTTTTTGAAAAGTAATAATGGTGCTTATTTATAACTTATGGACTTGTTAATTTTAATGTTTACTTTATTATACCAGAATATGATAAATATAAACTATAACATGATTAATATAAGATTATCTCTATATATAAAAATATTAATATGAAACTAATTTACATTAAATTCACTATGGAACTCAAGAATTATAGTACCATTAGAAACATTCTAAAGAAAGCTCAAGGAGAGAAAATTGCGCCTTATGTTTTTAAAATCAATGATACTCAAACACTCCAGGAATATTTAGATAAAGAAAAAATAATCTATGAAATTTAAATTACTTCCTTAATTTCAATCAAGACCATTTCTTAGTTTCTTTAACTTCAATTTGAGTAATTTGACTATTCTGTTGCTCTTTTAAGTGTTAGTTTCTTCTTTTAACTTAGTGACTTCAGCTTCTAATTCTTTAATTCTTTTTATTTTCTCATCACCTCACTTTTTTGACTTTTCATGAAATTTAACAACTTCCTCTCTTTCAATATTTAATTCTTTTTTAGTAATCATTAACTCTTTTTCTAGTTTGCTAGTTCTCTTTTCTAAACAAAAACTGAAAGATCAAGAAATTAATTCACTTTCAGCAAGAGATTGAATTTGCTTCTTTTTTTCTTTATAACAATAATAAAAACTCTTGTTTCTTATTAATCTATCATACTTCTTACATCTTGAAAGAGTACCATTATCATATTCATTTTACAGTCTTTACAAATAAAGGATATATCAAAGTATTGTTCTGTTTTGGTGTATGCTATCATCTGATAAGCAGTAAAAGCAGTGCTAAAATTAAGGTTAGTTTGGTCATTATAGTCTATAAAACAATAACTGCATTCTTGCTTATTCTCTTTTATTAATTCCAAAACTCTATATTCTAAATTCATACTAATTTATTTATTTCTTTAAATAATGTAAGTTTAGAACTTCTCTTTACTTTTTTTTTTAATTCTATTTACTAATTATTTAAGTTTTAATAATCTGCTTTGCTTTTTAGGCAGAGCTGGCAATTCTTTATTCTCATATTCTTTGATAATTTGTTTTTTATTTCTTAATCAATTAATGTTATTTTCTAAAACTTCTATTTTTTTCAAAAATCACTTCTCTCTTAAAACATAAATTGATTTTACTTCTTTTATTTGATATTCTCTCCACTTTATGGCTGTATTCAATACTTTCTCAGCTTTTTCAAGTTTCATTTCTAAATCATCTTTCAAACCTTCTACTTTTTTTTCTAATTCTTCTACCTTTGCTTTCAACTCTTTAATTCTTTCATCCTTACCTCCAATAATATCTTTAAGAATTATATCCTTAGCTAGTCTACCAAAGATTTCACCTTCTTCTTTTATTCGAGAAATAATATGAGTTCTTTCATTTTATTTTTTTCAATCTTTTAACAAGTCAGTAGCTAACTCAGTGCTTTCAAAATAGTCTATTACAATTCTTTCTACAACTTTTTCCAAATTCTCCTTTTCTTTTCAATTATAGTCATGCATAAGATTGTGTTATAAACAAATATTCATAAATTGTTTTCTTAATAGTTTGCTAATTAATTCTTTTAAATCTTGTTCAAGGTTTTTACTACAGTGAGAGAACCTATTCCTCATCTCTACCACATTTGGTAAATTCTTTATTTAAATTCTGCTTTTTCTTACTCACTTACTTCTGTATTTTTATAATTATTAAGTTCTCTATTTTTATCTACTAATTGTTATTTTAATAATTCTATTTCGTTTAATAATTCTTTATTTTCTTGCTGTTGTTTTTCTATAATATTTACCATAAATTTTTATTTATTTATTTTTAATATATTTATAAGGCTAAATTAAGTATATAATTATTTTAATCTTCCTTTTATTTAAATTTTAAAAGTTTAAAATAGGAATATTAGATAAAGAATTTAATGTGATAAGAAAATTAATGAATTTTAGTTTAAATATTTTATTCGTTGCTGATATAGGTTAGTTTTAGACAAGTAATATCTTTGTATTTATCTCTGACAAATGAACAAATATTCTGGTACAGATAGATTTGCCTTTTGTAGTCTAAAAAAAAGGATTTAATATTAAAATGAATAAAGATTTAATTTCTTTGATAATTTCAGAAACACTGAATTTTCTAACCTTTGACAAATTAAATTTAGTAAATACATCATCAGTAACCAGCTGAGCTTTGATAACTTCAGAATTAGCTGCTTCAAAGAGAAATGCTGATATTTTTGTAAGTCACTCAATTTCTTAAAGAAAATTCCCAACATAGAATTAAGATCCAAATACTAAAAGCCTTTTCCATTATCATAACATTGAATTTTGTTCAATCCTGCTGTACTCAATCTTTTCACAATCTTAATAATATGATCTAAGCAATCTACTGTTGTTTTTCTATAAAGTTTTTTAATTAATTCAAAATTACCATCACACTTGAATTTAGTATATTCAGGTATTATAAAGTTCAATTTAATATTTTCATAATAACCACAAATTACTAAATATAGGTAAAATCAAAGGGTAACATTATTTTTATTCTAACCATCCACATTATTGCAAGTAATCTTTAAATGTTTTTGTCTTTATTCAATTGCTTAATCCCATCAATTACTATGCTCAGCGTACCATTGGGTTCTTTCCCTATAATTTCACCTTCATTAAGAACATAATTAATTTATTTGTATACTGCTTCATCTTAAATACTAAATAAATGTACTTTATACGGACTGAGATAATAAATCTTACTTACCTGTTGATTAGAATGAGAAACATGAACGTTTACGCTCAATCATAACTGTAATGAGCAGTAGCGTCAATATTACAATAATCAGCTTTACCTTTTATTATAAACTGTTTATCTATCAACTTCCTCTGTTATTCTGCTAATTTTGTATTTTTGTTGTAATAGTTTCTCTTTAACTTAGCTTTAATTAGATGTTCTTTAAATTTTTTTAGTAAGTCTCTTGCTTCTTCTTCCTTGCGAGTATTATACTGTAAGCCATTCTGAAAATGTTAACAAGTATCGTATAAATTTATTTGTGGACTTATGATTTGAATATAAGGTGTTAATTGATGTTATAACTTGCAGAATATATCATATTTTAACAATATCAATGTGCACTCATTTTTAAGACTTGCAATAAAATCACGATAAACTGATTTATAACTCATTTCAGTTAGCAAAAGTGTAAGCGATTAAGTAATACGGTTAATATTTCTACCCAGATTTGGTAATTTATATATTTTAGCATAATTCTCAAGAAAATTCTTCACAGTGGTAGTAACGGTTATATCAATAGTTATTTTAGTTTTTTATTATAGCACTCTTTTTATATTATCATAAACACGTGATATTATACCATTCGTCTCTAAGTGATTTCTAACGTTTCGAAGTATGTATGACCAATTCTCAATAAATTGAGATATATTTTCTGACAAAGAAGCATATTGTGATCTCAATAATAAAAGTTCTTTTATTAATATATGTTTTCTTTCTAAGACGTCGACTGGCAATTATTTTTCCACCATTCATTGCTTTCAGTTGAGTCATTACAAATATATCTTGTTAAGATCTAGAGAGAGCTTAAAACGCCTCACGTAATTTGACAAACTTTTTTCTCAGAATATTTTTTGAGTAACTACAATTACAACCTATCTTTAAGAAAAGCATGGCTTTTTCATACTCATTGTTATTATATTCATTATTCTTCATATACAGATTATCTATATATTAGTTTTATTATTGATTAGCCTGACCATATGACATGCAAATTTTTCAGATCACATGATTCGATTCTAAACTATTTTATTCTTACCATCGAAAAGAGTTTCTGCAGCTATAGTGAAGCTAACATTGTGGATACTTCTTGAGAGTCAAAAGAAGGCTATTCAATATTCTAAAAAATATATACAAGCTGATAGCAATTTAAACGATCTTGGAAGTAGTCTTTGTGAACATCAAAAATTCCTCAAAGATATTGAGCCAGGTGATATTGAGTTTTTTTCCTATGACAAACATAATGAGCCTCTTAGCAGAGATATGCTTCTTAAGGACCTAACCACTACTGCTACTGCATCTTTATTATTCATTATCTAGTGTCAGACTCTGATGATAAGCAAGCGTTCTCTTTCACTTTTGCCTATTAAAGGCCAATAAGTTTTACTTATCTTTAACTTGTAGTTGTCGTCTACTATAATCTCTTCATGAAGTAGTTTAAGAAAAGGTTTTCATATTTCTCAGGTCTTTAGTATCTTATTTGTACCTGTTGTCAAAAATCATTCAAAACTCTACTGTCAGATGTCTTATACTATTTCATGTACAACAGACAAACAAACAGAAAAATAAGCAGTGAGGAGAAAATCAAGAACAAGTATCAGTTGAATAAAGTGATAACAGAGATCAAACTGAATGAAAAAGGCAGACGTATAATTCATCTCTTTATTCAGATTGAAGGTTAGTTTGCAAGTATGAATTAGAGGCAATAAGAACGTTTATGTGACTCGTCTTTGATTCTTGTAAGTAGAAAAGCGTATGGTGACTGGAAGTTAGCAGAAATTCTTTAGCAGTTTCTGAAATATCAAAAATCGTTGTTGGCTATATTGGCCAATTTAATATTAGTAACAACATGTTATATTTTCTGTTTGCAAATGTTATCGCGTATTATCATTAATCATTTCTTATATGATTCTTGTCCTGCAGCTGAACTTCCAGATCAAGACTCTCCTATTGAATCTGATGTATTTCAGATGTTCATCAAAGACCTGAAGCAAAAAAGGAACAATTTTCGTGTTGTTAATACAAATAAGATAACATATAGAGAATTTATCTCTTCATTCATGAACAGCATAGTAACTCATGTGCGATCAAAAGAAAGTGAACTTCAGCTTAAAGCTAAAGAATGAATTAATGGAAGTTGTAGATATGGGCCCATTAACTACTCTGTCAATTTAGGTAATGTGGTTGTTTTGGTTAAAAAAGCTAAAAAAGAAGATTTTGAGAAGATAGCCGTTCAGAATATTATACAAATACATAGTGCTATTGAGATAGGAAAATGATGTATTTTTTTTTTCAATTTTGCTACTTGCTTTCTGTATAATGTAAAATCAACCATTTCTCAGACAATAAAATGAAAGCGTAAAATGAATGAAACAGAATTAGAGAACATTCCAATTTTAACGTATGGAATTGTAACAAATGGTATAAAATGATACTTTCTTTGATAAGCAGGCTCTCTAGAAGATGCAATAATAGAGCTTTCTGATTCATATACCTGTGATTTTTACAATAATTTGAAGGATACGAAGCATATTGTTAGCTATATCGTCTCTATTCTTCAATTACAAGTTAATGGTTTGAAAAACAATACTAAATGCTGTACAGTTCAAGCACCCTAGTTGCATTAAGTCTTAAACCCTATCTTAAAATAGCCATATATTTCAAAAAAGAAATATTAATTTAAAAATTTATTATACTTTAATAGATCAGATCACAGACTATAAAAGTATAATTTAATTTTTCAAATTAGATTTATGTATAAGAAGTTATATGCATTTTACTTCAGCAAAAAATTATATGTACATATATAAAATATTCTCAATTTAGCCATCAAATTTTAGGTTAAAAATTTAATTTTTAATACTTTTTAATATTAAATTTCCATTGAAAAATGCGGTAAAATTATCAGATATCAACATAATTATAAATTTGAACGATGCATATACAATCACATGCAATTTGCTTTTCGCAATTTTATTTTGAAAAATAAAGTTTGATGACTGGTATAGTCCCGTCAAAAGTAATGGCGGTTAGAGACATTGCTTCTTATGTAGATCACAGCAACTCTATTATTCCAATTTGACTCATTGTTTATTAGATCAAATTAGATAATAGAATGTTTATATAAAATAAATAATAAAAAAAATAAATTAAACCCATTTGAACTTTTTTATTACTAATCAAAATCACAATACCATTAACATCTATTAAAATGAGTTACAAAATCATAAAGTTCTTTTGGAATAGAAACATACAATATTTGGACTGTTTTTTAAAAAAAAATTGAAAAAAATATTAAAAATATTAGTTGCACAAAAAAAAATTCAAATGAAATTTTTTTTTAATAAAGAAATAGAATAATCTTGATAACTCAATATTACTTAACTGTATCAATAGCATGCTAATCAAATTCAAGCATGTATTAACATAAATGAAAGATACACTACATATTAATTATCTAATAAAATTTATAAATATTGTTTTTATCTTTATTTTAAAAAAAATTTACATATTTTTGATATAAAATTACATATATAAGGTTAAAAAAACTGTCTGCCATTACTTTTGATAGAGACTGTATATTAAAGAGAAAAAAAACACATAAAAAAACTTGCTGAAAAAAACAAAAAAAAACATGTTTAAATGGCCGAAACAAATATTAAAGTGAAAAATAATAAAGAAAGTTTATGAGAAATTTTTCATGATGTAGAAAATAATGAAAAAATTATATGGGGAGATGATGATTTAGATGATAATCGAAAAGATTTGATTCAAATTTTAATGGATCAAATGCAGAATTATATCTCATTGAACCACAAGTCAACTTATATAGGAAATTTTGCAAGAACTAAATGTAGACATCATGTTCAAGCAAAAAGAAATGCCAAAAAAAATGGGCAAACAATTGATCATTTTTTTTTATTACAAAATCTAATGAAAGTGATGAAATAAGTGAAGAATCTGAAAATGAACCTAATGATAATGATGATTATTTCCAACAAGTAATTAATTCTCTTGAAACACAACTAAAAGAAAAGAATTTAGATGAAGGTTACAAATTAAGATTAATTGTTATATTACAATATATGTGACTTCTTGAATTTCAAGATTCTAAATTAGAAGCTAGTCTTAGTATTGCATAACAACTTAAAAAAGTACTATAGTTTGCTCAATGTCTTTATTTATAGAATCGCATGTTGTAAAATGGAGAGTTTATCCTATTTTCTAAATGAGGAAAGCATTGTAAGATAAAAAGTTTATTTAATGATAAAGATATTCAAATGTAAGTTACTTTTTATTTGTGAGAAAAAAAATTTGAGTTTTATGTTGCTGATTTTATGGATTATATTACAAATATTATTTTCCCATCACTTGGTATTAAAACAAAAATAACAATTAGGTAAATGTTTTACTTTTAATTTTTTAATTATTAAATAATATTTATTATTTATAATTATTAATTATTAGTGAAACTACTACAAAAAATTGGCTTAGGAAAATGGATTATTATTATAAAAAATATCAAAAGGAAATTTATGTGAATGGGTATAAATATAAGAATGTAGTGGAATATTGAAAAATCTTTTTAAAGGAAATAGAAATGTAAGTATCATGTCAATCATGCAATGTCAATCAAAGTCACAATTTATTTATTTATTTTCATTTTTTATAATAAAGTTATCAAAAATTAATGCCGATTTTTGAAGGTGATGAAATAGAAATTCAAATTAATCCTGATTTGCAACCAAATAAATAAATTCATATTTTAGTTACTCATGATAAAACCACATTTCATTTTAATGATAGAAGAAATTCTAGATAGGCTCTTAATCATGAATAATTTTTGCGAAAAAAAGAACAAGGATGTGCTATTCATATAAGTGATTTTATTTATGAAACAATTGGTCAATTACAATTAAATGAAGAATAAAAACTTTCTAAAATTGGAAATAAAATTCTATATGAAGCCTGAGTTATAATGAATCCTGGAAAAAATCATGATGGTTGGTGGACTGTTGAAAAATTAGTTGAATAGGTAATTGATTAATTATTTTTTTTTATTTTAATAAATATTTTTTTTTATTTAAGATAATTCAACATGCAATTCTCATATTTGAAACAACTCATCCAAATGCTATTGGTATTTTTGCATTAATAATTCTACATCACATGGTGCTTTTGTGTTTAATGCATTAGTTGCATAATGTATAAATGTAAATCCTGGTAGAAAACAACCTCGAATGAGAAATACAATATTTAATGGACAAATTCAAAGTATAAATTTTCTTGATGATTATTTTGATGAAACACTTTGAAGAAAACCAAAAGGTATAAAACAAGTTTTAGAAAAATATCAATTAATGAAATCAGGCTTAATAGAATATTGCCGTAATAATGAATCAAAAGATACTCAATGTTGCATATGCCATATTCTTGAAAATCAACCTGATTTTCTTACTTAAAAGGAATGATTCAAGAAATTATTGAAGAATGAGATCATAAAGTAATTTTTTATTCAAAATTTTATTCTGAATTAAATTTTATTAAAATGTATTAGGAAGCATCAAAAAAATATTCTCATAAAAATTGTGACTATACTTGAATTAGTTTGCAACAGATTGTGCTAATTGCTCTAAATCAAATTTCATTATCTCATATTAGAGCATTAGCAGAAAATTATATAGATATATAGATGCATATCGAAAAGGATTTGATGTAAAGCAAGCAGAATATGTAGTTAAACATTATAAAAGATATAGAGTAATATCTAATATATTACTTCATGATATTTGATATTTTTTAAATAATTTTTTAATAAAAAAATTTTTGCGTATATTACACGATAAATTTAAGTTGTATATTAATACTAGTCAGAATTATATTAATTTTATAATTTGGGCTGAGAGTCATGTGAAAGTCATATGATTAACCGCTTGGAAAAATTTGGCCACTATATTTGAGATTTGATATAACTAGGATGCTTGAGCTGTATAATTAAGCGATATTATACAGTACCCTCAGTTTCTCACTCTAGCTCTCTTATATATGAATCTTAATTGCAAACTCATTTGTTTTATAGTTGTTATCTTGCTTTTATTCCTTCTAATGCTAATAATACCTTCTTAAGGTTGAACAATTCAATTATTTAGTTGTTTTTTTTCCACCAACATTTAGGTTTATTTCAACCACACATTGTAAAGCTTTAATGCTAGCAAGTTGTATAATAGATAATTATATTGTTGAGTTAGCCATTGGTAGCAAAATCTTGCTAATTCTCAAAGAACTTCTGCAAGTAAACATAATACTATTAGCAGAGTTAAAAGTAATAAGAAAAAGAAGCAATAAAAGCTATCAAAGATAAGATATTTACAATAATTGATATACATATTTTATTATCTTGACTTTATTATTTCTTTAAAAATAAAGTAGATATATTTAAAGATTTACTAGAGCAATTGCATGGGAGAAAATACTCAGATCTAAAGTCATTAATGAGTACTTCTATACTTTGATTACTCTAGCAAAATTTATTCTATATATTATTACTAATGCTATTAATGCCTTCTTCTTCACTCCTCCTTTCTTTATCTATTCATTCTTGAATTGCTTTGACAGTTATTTTTCAAGGATTTGTTTTTCGCAGGTAGAAGTTTTTCAAAGTTAGGGTAGCAACGTCTTTTCCTTTGTATAACCCATAGATTTGAGTGATTATTTGGTTAAACAAAAAGTCTGAGTTTAGCTCAGATTTCATATCAAATAGAGTTCTAAAATCTTTCCACAAACTTTTAATATCAAATGAATAATGTCGCTCACTGAGCAGTTTAATGAATTTAGATTTTACTTTAATTTTCTTTAATTTGACTACTTGAATGATTATTTTGAGCTTTTGATTTATATTGTCAAGTTTAATATACATTTTATAGTAGAATAAAGGATCAAAGACAAGGCCAATCAATAGCCTACAAAAGAATTCAATAGTAAAAAGAAACATTTTTAATGATCAGGTTATTTGCTTTTTTATAGAATAACTTATTTCAGTATTGACGTTAGAAAGATTTGTGACTTTTTTTAAGGCAAAATTGAATTAAGTTATGCCTTTTTATAATAAATTCTCAGTTTCATCAAAATTGCAAATTTATTAAACATAATTACGATGAAACAAGTTGATTTACTGATCAAATAAGTCTCTTAAAATTTAGATCAGCTACCTTTCTAATAGTTTATTTTCATGATCTGCTTTTATTACTTTCTATACCTATTATTATTTTTAACATGATAA